GGACAAGCATGCGTTAAAGACGAGATGAATGCAGGTCAAGAGGAAATGAAAAGAGAAATTACCTGCGTAATAGAAAACAAATTCGAGGCTATAGAAGGTAGGATTGACTCGGTCGAAAGTAAGGTTGGAGAAATTGAAGAAAGAGTTTCTTCCGTTAAAGAACAAGTAGAAGCGAGAGTTTCTGCTGTGGAGGAACGAATTGAAGGAAGAGTTTGTGCCGTCCAACACCAAATCGAACAACAAATTGATGACAGGGTTTCTGCAGTTGCCAAAGAAGTGGATACTTTAAGGAAATTCGTAGCGACAGCAGCGAGCAATTCGGATGGTTTTAAATTTTTACACATGCCTGCTCGTGCCTCCCTGAAATTATCCACATATGATGGGAAGACATCCTGGCAAGTATATAAGACGCAATTTTCTATAGTGGCGGAAGCGGACGGATGGGATTCCCAAGCTAAGGCCTGTCATCTTGCCGGTTCTTTGAGAGCAGACGCAGCAGATATCCTGCAGACTCTTCCCGAAAACCAGAGATTAGACTTGGAAGCTCTATCCGGCGCATTGGAGCTGCGCGTTTTAGAGAAGTGTTTAAAAGACTACAGCAGGCTTCAACTAAATCCCGTCAGCAGAAGCCCACCGAAACACTTCAGGAGCTCGCCACGGATGTTGAAAGGCTGTCACATCACGCCTTTTTGGAGTGCCCGACAGAAACAAGAGAAATCCCGTCGCTCCAATATTTCATTGATGGCATCTGGGACCCTGAAATACAGAAAGCTCTTCGAATGGCAGATGTAAAGACATAAAAGCGCTCTGTTTGTACGCCATGAAATTCGAGGCAGCCCAGCAAGCCACTCGTAGAGATCGCTACCCAGTCAGAGCTGTACGAGTCCACGAGCCGGTGGATCAATTGATGGCTCGTTTAGATGACTTATCCAGACAAGTCAATGCTTTGATAAGGAGTAGGAGCGAGAACAGAGTGTCTCTAAGATGTTGGAAATGTGGTATTGAAGGGTACATACGATGGCATTGCAGAACACCCCAGGGCACGGATAATAAAACGGATGAGTTGAAAAGACAAGTGAATGCCTTGAGACGGAATAGTGGTTAAAAGAAACCGACCCTAAAGTGCTGGAACTGCGATGTTGAAGGCCACCTACGAAGGAAATGCAGAACACCCCAGAGCACGGAAAATAAGGCATACGATTTCAACAGACAATTAAATGCCATGGGAAGGAAAAGGATTGACATGAAACCAAAGTGCTGGAACTGTGGAGCTGAAGGCCACGTACGAAAGAATTGCAGAACACCCCAGGGTACGAAAATTGAGACCATTTCTCAGCAACGACGCAAGAAACAAATTAATGACCATATCAAGGAACAGAGGTTGCCAGATAATGAAAAACCTTGTTTTAAAGCACTCAAGATTTCTACAGTGAGTGACAACAGTAACGGACTGTCCATCAATGAAATCGATGAAATTCCTTGCGATATGATCATTGACACAGGAGCTAATGTTACCATCATTAGGAAAGATTTAGCTGAACAGTTTAAAGGTAAACTTATTTGGACGCCATCCTGTGTTACCCTTCAGACTGCGTCTGGTGACAAGATCGACATATCTGGGAAGTTAAACGTTAACATCACGTTTGCAAGTGCCGCCTACCATCATGCCTACCATCAAATTAGCATATGTGGCGGATATTACGGATCCGTGCATACATGGAGTGGACTTTTTAAGGAAATACAATTTTTCCTTAGACTTCAAAAACAACAACCTGTTCTCAGCATCTGAAGACATAACTATCCATACTCAAAGGGGTTTATCGCCTGGAAACGCCGACGTCTCATGTGAAAGACCCTGCTTAGAAAGCTGCCGAAATCATACTAGGGTCGGAGAGAAGCATCAGACTAACGGTTATTTTCCATCCCAGATACTCTTCGGTCGAGAATTTCGTCTGCCTTGTGACCGCCTGTTTGGTTGACCTACGGATGCGCCTTCATCACCTGAGGAACACATTTAAGATGTCCAGGCCCGGTTTGAAGTGATGCACCGTTCTGCACGAAAGCGAGTCAACTTGGCGACGGAGAAAGTGAAGACCAGATACGACAAGAGAGCTATTGGACAAAGAGTCAACGAAGGAGACAAGGTGTGGTTGTGGAACCCGAATAGACGAAAAGGAGTCAGGCTTAAATTACAGTCGCCTTGGGATGGTCCGTACACAGTCCTACACAGGCTGAAAGACGTCGTGCTTCGGATCCGCAAGTCTTCGAACTGTGAACCTAAAGTCGTTCATTACGACAGGTTAGCTCATTACCATGGCCATAGTACGTAGTGTAAATAATTGTAAATAGTGTAAGACCGTGGTCCTTTTTGTTTCTAAATGTGTATTTAGTATTTGATTCGTATTTTGTATTTGATTTGTATTTGATAGCATTTGATTTGTTTTATTTATTGAATTTATTGTTCATGTTGTTTATTATTGTAATGTAATACTTATTATTGTATATATGGCTTAGTTGTAAGTTTGGCTTCCTGTCCAGGGATTGTACTGCTCGGAACGTGCAGTTCTTGGGAAGGGGGCAGTGTTACGGATTTGTTATTTAAATAGCTAATGTTAGTTGAATTGTAAATTAAATAGTTTTATTTCCCGCGCAGTGCAGCGCGTGACAAATATTAAAAGAAAGCTAAGCCGGAAAACTGAAAATACAAGAGCGCGTGCATGTAACATTTAATAAATATCTCTTTTTGATTTCGAGAAAGTTCCAGAAAATTCTCGTGCGCGATTTAAAATCTTATAAAAGGAGGAAAACCTCTCAGTTCGTTGTAGTTAGTTACTTAGTTTGTTGTTGTTTTAAGAGTTTGTTTAGAAAACTGCTCTTGTTGATTGTAGCGAATTCGCGGATTAGCTTTCTTCAGCTGTTTTGAATTAAGTTCTATTGAACGTTTGAGTAGTTAAAAGATAACTACTGAGAGATATTGTAATACTGCACGATAATTTGTGGAAATTTAAGCATATTTGTTGTGATAATAATAAATTTTGTTCATTTTTCATCGGACTAGTGCATTCATTTCGTAACGAACCCGTACGCACGCAACAGTATTAATTTAGAAACTGTTGTATCAACAATGTTCTCGAAACATAGAAAACGATGCCTTATGGAATAATAAAATTTAAGATGACTTAGAAGAATCATATCTGGGGCAAAGAACTCTTTGACGAAATGATGGGAGATCATTCCTAGAACTTTAGTCGGCGCGTGCTATAAATTTCATCACTCGCCTGTACTGTTATTGGTCTAAAGCTCCTTAAAGCCTTATCCTCTTTCAATAAAGAGTCAAATGGACCCACTCGCCTATCAACTGAGGACCACAGAATGGCTTTCTCCGTTAAGTTGAAGGCATTTGATGATACCTTTTTTTTTTTTTTTTTTTTTCAATATTGTTCGTTCAAATAGTAAATGGACCAGTGATCGCAGAATAGTTATCCTACAACATGTGTGGAAAATGCTTGACCAACGAATTTCAGCTCGTCAGCACCTCCTACATATGTACCGGTATTTTGGAGAGCATTGCTGAGTGAGTGGAGTAATCTTTCCCGAGATCAGCTTGATAATTTGATATTCAGCCTGGTTAGACGTTGTAAGGACTGTATTTCATCGTCTGGAAGACATACAATGTACTAACCATGTAATGTTAAGTTTTTGTCCGGGAGATATTTTTTGTAATTGCTCTCGGGAGCAAAAATCGTAGTTTTTATTAATACATATACTTTTTTTTTTTTTTTTTTTTTTTTTTTTTTTTTAGTAAATGGGCTTTCTGAATAAGTCACATTTGTTTTGTTTCTGAATCTTTACTTGCCAGAGCTGACATTATCCTTAATTTACGAACATGAATGTATTTCTTCTTATTAAAGAAACCGCACGTTTCACATTGCAAAACCTACAAGTTTACAACAGTTTCTAATTGAAAAGTAGGATCTAGAAAATCAAACTGACATATTTTTTAAAACATTTTTTATTTCTACAAATCAAATACTTTTTCCTTTGGTATTATAAATTGCGTTTTACAATCAGTGCCTTTTTCGAATCCAAGAAATATGTTAATTTCTACTATACTAAAGAAACGAAGCATTTACCTAAAGAGTTATCTGACTTATGCTGTTAGCTGCATTCTAAACGAAATGAAATTTCCATTACTTTTTAATATTTTTATCTGCTTCATTTAAATACGCAAATAAATAAAAATAGATAAATAACTAAACAACATTCCTTTTTTATCACTTAAAATTTTACACATGCGTGTGTCTTTCTTCCCAGATCATCTCACAAGAAAATTTGAGGTATGGAACAAAATTTAGTATTAGTACGCACTAATTAATAGTCTTCTCTTATATGATCAAACTGTATTGCATTTTCTGCAGTGTAGCCTTATCGCATTAGTAAAGGTACAAACATACACACAAATAAAGAATAAAAAAATATTTAAAAAAAAAACGAGCGTAAAGAATATTTTAGCTTTTGTAAAAGAACATTGTAGGCTTTCCCTTAATTCAATCAACCAATTATTCAAATTTTTATTATCTTATTTGAACTCCTCAACTTCCCTTCTCATTTCTTCGCCAGGATGCTAATTTTAAGTTGCTGACCACTTTGACCATTTAAATAAATTATCACGCCGGGTAGGTTGTCGAGTCAACATACTTAGCCCTGAACTTAAAGTGCTAGTCCAGCATTAGTTTTAGCCTTGTTTACTTTTTTTTGAATTTATTATGTAACATTCTTAAGTTTCACTGCAAGTTATCGGTGTTATTATAAAGTACGAAGTACGTGCTTTTCTGTTTATAGTTGATAATAATAAAGAGTGATTTTTACCCTTCTTTTGTGTTGTTATCCTTCACGCCTGTGCGAGAGGTCGCTAGGTTCCTTAGTAGGATCTCGTACAGATTATGTGACCAAAGAGAGTAAGATTCTATAACATGTTAAAAATTATAAGATTACATATTAGGAATAAAATTATTTCTTACCATTCACCGAGTAAATAATAAGAGGTACTGTCTTCAGGATTCAGTTGAATAGCGCGCTGTAAAAGAAAAGAAAAAAAAAAAAAAAATATGTACGAGTTATAGAGCAACTTTTGAGATGGTTTTCTTTTTTTAATGCAAATACAATAAAAAGGTCTTCTTTCACATTCTGAATAACAAAAAAATTGTTGAATGATCTGAATTTAAGACATTAAAAAAAAATCTGAAAAGTTTTAGATTTTAAATTACGTCTACAGGTGCGTTTTTTTAACGTTTTGTGTGCTACCTTGATTTATTAAATATCATGTTCTACGTACTCAAACTATAAAATTCAATTCAACAGCAACATCGCAAAATAGTTTTAATATGAGCATATCTTTAGAATTTCCGATACAGAGACTCACGCGCTGGAGATTAAAATGTTTCTCTGTACAACGTTGCCATTGCTCGCTTCGAAATCCTTGAGTTTGTTAATCAAACATTCGTTAAAGTTTTACAAAATAGGAAATCAATAATAAAACACATTTCAAATTCAAATTAGGGCTTCCACATGCTCATATTCTATGGAAAATTACGTTATTCAAATTTTGATGGCTCTAGGTACCATTGTTTTATCACATTGCGAGAAACATACACACATTTATGCAGATTCTTCATTATTTAATTTCTTTAAATATAAGACTGAGCGAAAATATATGTTGGAAAGTGATACAGCCTTTTAAAGTTTTCAATGCAAAATCCCAAAACAAAATTAATAGTCCTTCTGGACAAATTGCCCCTTTGGCATTTTGTAGACTAATAATCTACATTGTTTCTTAAATATATGACAGTAGAATATGATCATTGACATTTCATAGATTTACTGTGGTCTGAAATTTTCATGAACTGCAACACCTATTAAACCTATTAAAACTACTTAGACGTCGCATATCATTGCTTTAAAATAGGAACTTAAGAGTCATTTTTCGGTCCCCGGCTTGCCTTGTAATCATAGAAACAACTACTGCAGCAGACGATTCGTATTGCCTTATTTTCCTCCCACTCCAGTTGCGTTTAGTGTGTCTCGCTTCATGGAAGATGACATGAAGAATATAAGCGATGTGCGGTGATGAAGATATTCGTTACGATTGTAAAATGGAGAGTGCTGGTAAAGGTTTTGAAGTGTTTATTTTAAAGAAACAGACTATAAGGAAAGGATTTCAAGATGCAAAATTATTGTCAAAATAGGGAAAAACGGTTCTGAATACATATGTGAAAATGTGAAAGAAAGATAGTGGATTTGTTAGATTTGTAGAAGAAGGAAACATGAAAAATATGCAATGCCCAAGCCAGAATTCGAGCTCCGGACCTCCTGACTGCTAGTTGGAAATGTTTCTTACATCATGAAGCTACGTGATAAAGAGCGAGAAAATACCTTACCAGTTGCTAATAAAATATATTCAGCTCTAAAACAATTATACGAATATTCGTCATTTATTTTCGAATAAGAAATATAGTTATATTTTAATATAAATTTCGCAAGTGGTCATCTTTAACAAGAGTTTACTGAGAAAAAGAAAAAAAAAAAAAAAACTGCTGAATTAGATACGCTTCATACTTCCATGTTTTGGAGTGGAAATTGCTGCTATTTTGAGCTCATAAAATCATTTGAAAAATCTCTTCTCACCATTAACAGAAACTAACGAAGAACGAACTAACTTAGAGCAGAAAGCAGAAAGAGAAGTCAATAAAAAACGAAACAGAAAGAGAGGTAAATAAAAAACGCAAATATTTAAACACCTAGATTTTTCGTCAAATTTAATCCAAATTTATCTTTGACAGATTCATCGAGGTTGTCTCTTACAATTGTAAACTTCTCCCACTAAACTACCAAGGATCTCGTTAATTGAGTATCACGCTTGGCAGTCAGCTCAGCTAACCAACTTATTATCGAGAAACTTCAGATTAATATTTGTATGATTTGTTTACATTGTTTCTTCAGCTTTCTTAGGGTTTCACTTTAAGTATATTCTAGCCCCGATCATTTAATGAATTGAATAAGCGACTGCGTGAAACTCGCTATGTTATGAATTGCATAGGAATGAGAAATGGAGTTTTAAAATGTTTACAATGAATCCAAGTTCGAACATGGGTCAAAATGTATATAAATTTTGAAAGTTTCCTATCAGATTAAACGAAAATTAAACGGAATTAAATAATAAAAAATAATATTAAATAAAATTAAACGAAAATCGATCAATTATTTTATCATTTTGTATCACACCTCAACTCTGGGAAACAATGAGTTGTGAGGTTAAAAAACCAATCAGCTAAAGAAAATAAGTTAAAAACTTCATTGTACACAATCTTTCGGGGAAAACCATTGTTAAGCATTAATAAACATAGATTAGCTGAATGCGTCTACGCCAGGCACTTTTTTTCTTCTTCGCCTTTTCTAATATAAGAAGATAAGGATATATTCACACGTCAAAGACAGTATAAACAAATTTTACATTAACTTTACGTCATTATTTTTACATTAAGTATTTACAAATATCAGTCAATGTAAATTAAAAATATTTTCAATTTTTTTAAATAAAGACTGCTAATATAAAATATATTTTGTCTGGTATAGTGCGAATTCCGATAGTTGTAATTTCAGTCAATACATTTCTTCATCTTCTTCTCTCTCTATCTCTCTCTTTTTTTTTTTTTTTTTGAAAAGATTGATTTCGAGAATGTGTTTCGTATATCCATATTTTCATATTTTTATTAAGGGAAAATGGAAAATGTTGGATATATTTTACCCCGTTAATCATTTTTTGAGTAACTACTTAAATGCACTGTTTCGCAAAAAAATCGAAGCACCAAGAAGGACTCTTGCGAAATTTGGTATGCAAATAATCAAAGTTTCAAGGCAAATGAAAAGGAATTGCGATCATAGCGCGCCTTTCTAGTGCGCAATTCGCAAAGTATAAAACCAGTGACAGAGGTGGAAAAGTTATCTTTTTTTGTTGCTGCCATTGTAATTCCGTAAAGAAGCAACTGAAATTCCATAAAGAAGCAACATGAGATTACGACGATATCGAAGACTTACAGACAACTAAACGACTTCGACCGTGGTCGCATTGTAAGGTTGGGTGAAGCTGGGTGGTCATGCCGAGCAATAGGCTTCCACCTGCACCGTACAGACACTGCTGTGCAAAGATGTTGGCAGCAATGGTTGCTACAAGGAAATTGCCGACGAAATGAGGGCTCTGATAGGGCAAGGAACACAAATGCAAGGCAAGGTAGGATGATTGTTCGCCAGGCCCGAACCGCCCCAACGGCATCATTGTCGACTATTCAATGCACTACAGCCACGTCCTATACCTCCCGTGGTACCGTCCACCATCTCACGGCGCTTGTCTCAGGCGGGGTTACGCTTACAGAGGCCTTTAAGACGTTTGCCTTTGACCCCACAACATTGGTGGAGTCGTCTGGAGTAGTGTCGCAGCCGATCATCATGGCTGCCATCAGACTGGCATTGTATAGTGTTCAGCGATGAATCCCGCTTCAATCTTGAAGCAGATGACCAACGTGTTCGTGTCTGGAGAGGACGAAGCCAGCGGTCCCAATCAGCCTTTGTTTTACAAAGGCATACAGCCATAACCCCTGCTGTGATGGTGTAGGGCGCTATTTCTTATGACAGCAGGTCATCTTTAATCATCTTCCGTACATCTTTAACAGCTCAACGATATGTTGATACCATCCTGCGGCCTGTTGCATTAACCTTCATGGCACGTCATCCTGGGGCCATTTTCCAGCAAGATTATGTCAGGCCACATACCGCTCATATGTCTCTGGACAGTCTCCGTGCGGTTGATACTCTTCCTTGGCAAGTTTACGAGACCTTTCACCAATCGAGCATGTCTGGAGCATAATAGCCCGTTAGATTCGGGCACCACAAAATATCGCAGATCTGGAGCGACAACTGATGGATGCCTGGCAGAATGTGTCCCAGGATGATATTAGGAACCTCTACCACTCCTTGCCTCGACGAATTCAAGCATGCATTGCCGCTAGGGGCGGTTCGACCAATTACTAATTTGAACACTCAATGGGTGATTGTGAGCCGTGAACAGGCCCTATGATCTTGATATTTTAATCATTTTATTATCTGTGTATGAGCTATACACATATTCAATTTCATCAACAACAACCACTTCCTTCATGGTGTTTCGATTTTTTTTGCAAAAGAGTGTATTTGAAACGTGTTCTTAAAGGCATAATTTTTACTGGAGCCGCAGAATCTAATCATCACAGTTACATCGAAAGTTATAACTATGGCCAATTAAAGATTAACTTACCACCTTTGCAGTTTTCAAAAGAAATTGCTTAAAACTGTTGATAACATATTACCTTCGAAGAAAAAATATTCTAAAAAACTTAATTTTTGTTAAGAAAACAATACGAGATTAACTGAGTTGTTTAACATTTTTAATTTCACATGTCAATTATTAGATTAATAATAACTACACAGAAAAATTTTGATAATTATACGCCTTCAAGATTTATAGCATAATACATAGGAATAGGCTGTATAATTGAAAATGTAATAATCTTACCTCCATATGTTTTCTGACATCAAAACTGTGCACAATACGATTTTTGGTGCTCTTGTATCGCCAGACATAATCCAATAAAATTGCTTTCCACTAAAGAAATAAAATATATAATAAAGATTAAAAATAAAAACTGAATGAAAAAACTGCAGTGAAAATACGCTATAGTGAACGTGGTTTATAAAACGAAGTCCAAACCAATTTTCTGTACACTTAACACTAGCACAGCTACAGTGAACCTCCAACTGCATGAAAGTAGGATATAACGAATGTTTGGAAAAAGTTTTTATAGATAAACTTTTGTTCTCATTTTCACCTTTTTTTCAGAACTTTTATAAAGTTGTAATTGAAAAATTACTGAGACTTAAAAATCATCCGTGTTTGGGTTATAAGAATAGCGAAACACACCTTTACGTTCCTGTTCTTCATCCTCCTCCAATCTTTCTCTGTGTTCTAAATACAGCTATTCTAAGCAGGTTAACATTCAGATTTTTAAAAACCATATCACACACAACAAACTGTCTTTGGCGATCAAATAATGTCAAGCAATGACCATTATGCCAAGCCACTTAGACTTAGATGGGTTGCTTAATTCTTTGACTGAGCTATCATAATAATGACTGAGCTATCATAATGTTATGACAAAGATAAATGGAAACAATGTTCAAAGTTAATGTTAATAGATTCTTATCAGCGTAAGGCTATATGATTCGTCTCTTAGGAAATAGAAATTTTTTATCTTTATCGATTTGTTTCGTTTCACTATTTAAATACTTGAGGTATTGAAAGGGAGGTTTTGTATTGAGCTTTTGCAGGATTTAGGGTATTCTTTATAGGTACTATAGAACCTTTGCTTGGTAACCGTGTATATGCTGCGATGTGTGATTACCCCATGCATTAACAGAGCATAATAAGCTTGCTCGAGTTTCGGCATGTGATTATTTGCTGAAAAGAAAAAAAAAAGGTTCTTTTTTGACACAGCTCGTTAATGAAGATAAGAAGTGGATACAACACAATAATGTTACAAGCACAAGATCATGGGGTAAGATAAATGAACCTCCTTTGATAAGTAAGTGGCTGCATCCTAAAAAAGTAATGTTTTGGGTACGGTGTGATTACAAAGGAACTATATACCACAAGTCAGGCTACAAATCAGGCACCAAATCAGGCAATAAATTCGGAAATATATCCTTCTCAAATGTCAGTTTTAAAACCAGAAATCGAAGCAAAGCGACCAGAATTTAACACTCTTCTAGATTTATCTTCCATTATGACAATGCTAGGCCCCCCAAACTTCCATGAATATCAGATAAACACTTATTGAGAGCAACTCGAAGTTTTGTGTCCCCTCCATCATTCACAAGACCTTCCTAAGATTTTTAGCTCTTCAAGTTACTTCAAAATTCTCCGCAAGGCCTGGAATTCTCTTCTTTGGAGACTGTCAAATAACAAGTCGCTAACTTTTTAAAATAAACCTAATGATGTTTTAGCAAAAGGAATTTTCTAGCTGCCAATATATTTGTATTATATATAATATTTAGTATATTAGCAAAGAGAGAAATAAGGGAAAGAAGAGTTTTGTAATTAAAATTTTTAGGATAACTATTCAATTAAAATCGGTATTTTAAACATTAAAAATTATTAATTATATTTAAATTATAATTATATAAATAAATTAAATTATTAATTATATTTAATCGCTTATTATATTTTAAACATTAAAATTATTAATGATTAAAACTATTAAATATCAAATAACGGAATAAACGTAATTAAAAATAAGGTGCAAAACAAAGTAAAAATTATTGAAACTGAATGCATCATATTAATCCTAGAAGAGGAAAAAAGAAATCCGACAATATTAAAACTGAATGGTAATTGTATATTCTATAGAACTATTCTATAGAACTATATTGGATCCACTTTTCTCAAAAATCTCTACATCTCATAATATACTTTTCCACTCTTCTTTCAGTATAATTTCAATACATTTTTGGTGCATTTTGTTATCAGGAATGGATTCAGAAATGTATACATGTATGTATGCATATATGTATGTGTTCATGTATGCATGTATACATGTACGTACGTATGTATGTGTATACACACATATATATATGCACGTAAACGTACACATATGCAATCATACATACATTTCTGAATCTACTCCCGATAACAGAACAGTACCGTAATCCCTGTTTACCTTTCTTCCAAAACAGCTAAATTTTGAATTAAAGACTTGCACAGACATTATGTTTTTCAGAAACAGGCGACATGAAAAATGAGCTATGCCCTCTTCGGGACTCGAACCACGGACCTCTCGAATACGCGACGAATGTGCTGGCCATTACACCACGAAGGCATGCTAAGAAGGCGGGAAAAATACCTTTATATTCCCTCGTTTAAAGGGCGACTGGCCGATTAGGGGACTCTAGTCGCCAAATCTTGGTGGTCGAGAATCATCATCCACCACCTTTTGTTTAGTTCGCGAGGCATTAGGTATTTTTTGAGAGCAGGAGAAGAGACAAATGAGCAATGCTCTCGCCGGGACTCGAACCACAGACCTCTCGAATACGCGACGAGTGTGCTGGCCATTACACCACGAAGGCATATGCCAAGAAGGCGGGAGAAATACCTTATAGACTAATTAATTATAATACGAATTCGAAGTTTAGTGATGCAACCACATGTTTTGGCATTACAAACAGTAGTTGAGAAACATAACATAAGGGGTTTAGTAGGTCCATAGATCATCAGTGGGGGAATTTATGATATACTATTCCACGAAATCCAAGTATTGGTTAAAAGGAGGACAGTTTAAGCTTAAGTATTTCTCCCGCCTTCTTAGCGTGCCTTCGTGGTGTAGTGGTCTGTATTCTCGGGACATATTCGAGAGGTCAGTGGTTCGATTCCCGACGAAGGCCATTGCTCATTTTTCATCTTTCCTGCTTCGAAATAACCTAATGTCTCTATAGTTGCGCCCGAACTAAAAAAAAAGGTGGTGGATGATGATTCCCCACCGGCAGGATTTGGCGATTGGGTCCTCTAATCCCCAGTCGGCTTTTAAACGAGGAGTATATAAGAGATTTCTCCCGCCTTCTTAGCGTGCCTTCGTCGTGTAGTGGTCTGCACGCTCGGTGCGTATACGAGAGGTCCGTGGTTCAATTTCCGGCGAGGGCACTACTCATTTTTCAAGTCTCCTGCTTCCAAAAAATCCTAATGTCTTTACAAGCTCACTGTTTGTTTATCAGAATTAGTAAGTTGACTTCAATGGCATTAAACAGTCAATTCTGTACTACGAAAAAAATTGCTTTTCGAATATACTTAAAGCCAGTGAATATGATCAAAAATATTTGTATTGCATGCCTAATTCGTTATGCTTTCCGTGGATGCAAGTGTTTTGTCCCTGAGTTGAAAACTGCACCCATTATAAGTGTTTGAAAATTTTGTTATTTATGATGGGCGTTTCCACTGGATTACACTGCTTGTGAATGTTCTAAAAATTTGTTAAACTTACTAATGTTTTAAGAGGTGTCAAGTGGAGACTTCTCCAGCAAGGTAGAACCCTCTATTTACTTCTTATGGAAATTGTACAGTTTATTTATAAAAATATCTTGTGTCAAATTAATTTTACTTAATGTAAAATTTTAAATTCTATTTTTTGAGTGCCATTACTGCAACTATTTGAGATAGAATTTTTACATAAGGTCTGCATATTACATATTATGTAAATATTCGAATGTTTATATGCGCCAGCGCCAGATGACTGTCATCTTTTAGATCAGGGTTTCTCAGCAGGGTCCATATTGACCATCTCCATATTGAAACTTTAAATGGGATCAGGGATGATTAAGGAGTCGACTGGGGGGGGCAGTAGCCGAATATGCATTGCCATTTGATCGGCATAGTCAAAAACCCTTTGGTTACAAAAAAATTATAAATAAATTTGATAATTAGTTGTTTATAGATATAAAGCTATATTAAGTAGTAAGGAAGAAATTATATAAAATAAATATAATGGGAAAATACATAAAAATGATTTAATTCATTTTTAGATCAATAATATTTTTTTAAAATATACCAATTTTTCATGCATTAAGTGCAATGTAAAAAGGTAAAGCGCGGAAACACACACACAAAAATGCCACCAAACAAGTTCAAAGAGCGCTAAACTTTCTCAGAAGATACATTGTTATATACAAGGTCACTGGCAAAATTTTAAAGATTTTAATAGGCGTTTTTAAGATATAGAAAATTTGAATGTGCCAACATGGCTCATAAAACCCTGATTTGTGATAAAATTGATTTTCATATTATGATGCAAAAGCAGTTAATTGCATGAAAGGTGTATACTGAAACACAAGTCTTATTCAAAACACATGGCTACTCTAAGTTTTGTAAATTTAAAAATCCTCAAAGAGAAATATCCTAGAATATAAGTTGTTACTGAACCAATTTACTTTTCCTACCTAGTAGAAACAAGAAGTCAAGTCAATATTTACTACAGAAAACAAGAAGCAGGATGAATATTGTTGAACGAGGTTATTTAAGAATTAAGTGAAGCAATTTCATGTCAAATATTAAAAAATCTGTTGACACCATATGACTATAAAATGGCTTATTAAATTAATTACCACATGGCTTATTAAATTAAACGCATTTTTTGCTGTACTTCCTTTAAATTTATTATTCTAATTTAATTAACCGATTCCTCAAGGCAAGTTGAAAATGACATCAAAAATTGCAAATTTTGAAATTAAATAGCCCGGTCAATTTTCATCATATGGTAGTCATATTTCTTATAATTATACTTATTTTTTCATAATGATAATAAAACTTACGTTATAGTCCCCAGTCCCATACGCGAAATTTCAGCATTCTAAAGCTAATCGTTTTTGAGTTGCGGATACGGACGTACATACGTAAGTACAGACTTCACGAAAAAAATCCATTTTACAATCCGCTTTGGGGAAAAAAAAAAAAATAATAATAAAAAAATAATCCTTTATTTCGTCTGTACATACAGACATCCCGCGGGAAGAAGAATAAGCAAAATGTATTCGGGAATGGTCAAAATGGATATTTCCGTTGAAATATAATATCCGAAATTTTTCGCGATTACATTACTTCCTTTACTTCATACAAGGAAGTCCGTACGTACAGACATTCTGCGGGGGAAAAAATCTTCAAAATGTATTCGGGAATGGTCGAAACGGATATTTCCGTTGAAATATAGTATCCGAAATTTTTCACGATTACAATATTTCCTTACTTACAATTACAATACTTACACATTTTACTTCGTAAAAGGAAGCTAAAAATTGCATTACTTTATCAAGCGCAGCAGCTGCATTACTTAAAATCAAACTTTTACGCAATAAAATCTATGCTTTTACTTCTGAAAACTTGTTTACATTTTTAAAATAAAAACAACACAAAAATAAAATGAAAGGATTTATTACACGAATGTATTATATAAATGTAATAAATATTTTTTTTTCATATTCTTAGTGTAATTATTATCTTAAAGTTATTCATAAACCATTTTTTATATTATGATTATGTTGTGTGCTGTATACAAAGAAATGTAAGGATTTCGATGAAGAAAAAAAACTCTTCTTTAAAAAGGTGTCGATGCAAGAAAATGTTTGAAAATCTCTACTCTAGAAACTTACAAAACACTTATTTTTCTCTTTTTTTTTTTTTTTTTTTTTTTTTAATTTCATTTATTCAGTTTAATTACGCAACTAAATTTTAAGTATGCAACTAGCAGTAACTATGCAATTAAATTAGTGGATTAATTTAGTTTCATAATTACTCATCCGTATTATTTAAGTTCTGTTAGTGATACTTTTCGATTATCTCGTTGAATTAACGGTCCTAATCAAAATTTTGCTTACTCTCGGTTTCCTTTTTAGTAACCCTGTACGGTATTTTCTCTCTCCTTATGCCTTCGAGGTGTAATTAGAAAGCAAGCCAGGTTAGCAATCGGAAGATTCGAATTTCGAATCCCGGCGAAGGTATCCCGCATTCCTCATGCTACCTCACTTGAGGAAAAAATTCTAAATGACTCTGCAGTAGCATCCCACGTGGTGGACGATAATTCTTCATCAACAGGACTTGGTGACTCAGTCGCCCTTTCAATAGAGGAGAATGTAAGGTACTTTCTTCCTCCTTACCGCGTGTTTTCGTGGTGGCGTAGCTGAGAGCACATTCTGTTGGCATCTGGAGGTCCGAAATTGGAATCTCGACGAGGATATTGCTGATTTCTTTTTGTGTTTCTTGGCTGAAATAATCAAAATGCCTGATGATCTGTTCAACCCCAACGACTTCTAATTTTACATCTATTTAATATGATCATTAAATGAAAATCTACCCTAAAAATTATCTTAGCCCTATGTAATTTTAGTGCAACAGACTTTGGAGCTTTTGGACTTCATTTATAAGCAAGCTATTGCTTATAAATCTTAGACTTCCTTGTACGAAGTAAAAAGGAAGTATTGTACTCGCGAAAAATTACGGGTATTATATTTCAACGAAAATCTCTTTTTTGACTGCTATCCAATGCAATTTAATGATGCTTTTGCGTGACATCCGCAAGTAAGAACAGAATATAGGACTCTTTTTCCCCCAGCGGTTTTGTTACCTAGAAGATACATGCTTTTGCGTGACATCCGCAAGTAAGAACAGAATATAGGACTCTTTTTCCCCCAGCGGTTTTGTTACCTAGAAGATACCTTCCTTGATCTAATGAATCTCTTAAGACTGCAGCCTTTGTTACCTTGCCTGTAAAGGTGTTCTTCTCTTAGAATTCTATGCATGCGGTATAAGTAACTTTACACTTTATTTCATTCAGGGCATTGTATTACTAATACTGTACTACAGTGTACTGTTATTTAAAGTGTTTTGTGATATTATTCCTGCATCTTTGGAAGGCAACCCATTTATGTTTGCATACTTTGCAGTTTTTAATGTCGAAATTCATCTTTTCACATTTTACTTGACATAGTTGTTTTGTTAATTGAGACTTCCTTGTACGAAGTAAAAAGGAAGTATTGTACTCGCGAAAAATTACGGGTATTATATTTCAACGAAAATCTCTTTTTTGACTGCTATCCAATGCAATTTAATGATGCTTTTGCGTGACATCCGCAAGTAAGAACAGAATATAGGACTCTTTCTCCCCCAGCGGTTTTGTTACCTAGAAGATACCTTCCTTGATCTAATGAATCTCTTAAGACTGCAGCCTTTGTTATTATAGGATCAAGATCACATTTAAGCTCGACCTCAGCCAAAGGTAAACACATTGGATGTTTTTCCAGAGGTGTTCGTCCATTTAAGAGGTGTTCCATTCGGTCTCACCCGTATACATGGAAGGCTGTATACATACTTTTGGCAAATTAAATGCAAAGTTGCAGCGGTATTTCTAAGTATGGACATTTTATAGCCATTTACTTTACCTAGGCTGGTATATGGAGTCATAATATCCTTAAAACTATTTTTGGAAAATTCATTTGAGGGTACAGTTTCAATGGATGCTATAGTTTCTAAATTCTTCTTCAGTTTATTACATTGAGGTCGAAGATGCGAGTAGGATCCGCATTCATAACAACGAGGTTGTCTCCGTTTCTCAAATTCCTTTTCATGAATTTTATTAGTACATTATGTCCTAATTATAGGTTTAGGATTAAAATCTTTCGAGATTTCTTCAGAATTATGTCTATTATGATAACCACTTTGCATTTTGTTAACGTTTTGATAATTTTCTTGTACTGTAGTCAAAGTCACTAACTACTATTCCCTTGGGCGACTTTCTGGAATCATCTTTATCTCCCAAATAACCACGAGATCCGCGATGGAAAGGTTCTACTGTATATAAAATTAATTCATTATAGATTGAAGAAGGAAAATAAAACTTTCTGAATAAACACTTTGATTACATCAATTTACTAAAAATTTAATTAGGTACGAATACTCAGACAACATTCTTGCTACAAAATTAGCAAATAAACATTAAAAAAAGTAAGGATAATACATTCGTATCCTAAGATATCCGAAGGTCAACCTAATTAAAACACTCCACCATCTATGTTTGTAGGCTTTTACGTCAGTTTGTAGGCTTTTACGTTAATTACCCAGCTAATTATTTTCTCTATACTCTTACTTCCATTTTCATCCATTCTCTTCAGAATGCAAATTAGGTTATGTATATAATACCAGAACTCATGAGCTGTGGCAGCCATCGCTGATCGGTTGTTCTGTTACACAACTGATAATTTACATGCTTATTTACCTCTATTTCCTGCCACTCATTTGGTTACCGCCTTTTGTTTTGCTAGCCGCATTTGCTTCATGAGATATTTAGGGCCGAGCCAAAGCTCATTTAGATGGATGTAACTTTGTGTATAATATTTCAATTTAGCTAAAACTTTTGTTCTAAATTTCGTACAATTAGCGGCTTTTCCGTTTTTGTTACTGTGAGTTTGCAATATTTACTATATTTTAGAAGTAAGACTTTGTGAGTTAGCATTTAGAATAGCATGGTACCATACGAGCTATGAATTCTTATTCTAGACTTAAATACAAGAACCAAACATATCGGGTGAATTAAAAAGAACTTTCTTTCCCACAGATGACACTGAAGAAATCTTTGCATTAAAATATTTGATAATCTTTTGGAAATGTTAAGTTTTCTTTAAAAAATTATAAATAAGTAGTTACAATAAAGACTGCAATAATTGTGCATTCATGATACAGTGACTTGTACTTAAACTTGTAAATAAAAACATTGCTATTTATGCATGAAAATAAATGGATATTCTAAATAAAAGCTCTCATTTCAGTTTCGCTATAAAACCAAGCAAAAAGCATTATCTTAATATACTCGGAACTGAAAAAATGAAAATACCTACCTTATGTGCCGCCCAACATGATTCATTAATTTCCAACGCTTTGTCTACAAGAGCAAGAGCATCTTCCAAATAAACTAACTTCTGCTTATCTTCCTTGATGTCCCGACATTTTTCAAACACAGCACGAGCCAAACGCCATAAAATCTCTGGATCGTCAGACTCATGATGAGGTGCCAAGAGATTGTAAAGCTTCTCATACTTAGCTTCATCATAGAAAGCGTCAGCTTCAATGATGAGGTTACCTGTAATAAAACACTTTTCTTTTACATGAAGAATAACAAACAGAAATTCAGTCAATTACTCAAAAGTACATACATTACACACAACAGGAATAAAGCAAGATTAATAACAAAATTAAAATATGAAACATTGTGGCATGCCTTTTTAAGACGAGTGACTTACTTTATTCAATTATGTAGAAGAGATATCTTGACAGTAACCCATTAACTTCTATTTTATTCCATAAAATCAATTGTAAAAGATCAAAACATCTTCCATTAAATAACATTCCTCCATTTTAATACATTTTTTCATACAATTTGTACTTCAGTGTAATAAAGCAACTTCTCAGAAAAAAAGTTAAAACATTTAAAGTGAAGAAAAGTAGCACGGTATAAGATATTTTAAGTTAATTAACCAGCTAATTATGATTTAAGTCTTTACTGTAACTTCTTCTCGTATTCCTTAACAGAATGCAAATTAGGTTTGTGTGTATATAAGCTGAGGGTTTTGGATGTTTAGATTAGAGCCTCTGGCAATCGCGTCTTACTGTTAATTTCTCTCGTCAGCTCTGATTAAAGTCCTATTCTGGCATTATCGTTTCGTTAGCTAATGCTTTAAAATACGTGCCAGTAAAATTCCGAGCCAGCGTGATTTAGTTATGAGTAGTCGGACTATGTTTCTACGTTTAAATTTAACTTTGTTATGATCATATGCATAGTTTTGTCTGTAGAAGAAGCGTTGCCTGATCTGTTCACTTTAAGGCTAAATAAACTGAGAAGCAAAAATGGAAAGAACTGAAATAGTTTTTTTTTTAATCGATGGAAGGAAGATTCATTTCTTTCCATCGATTAGCTACAAATTTCATGCATTTTACAGAAATTCAATTCTCGGACCGTTTTCTCTTCTATCAATCAAATTAGCAGTTCCATACTTTAAAGGCCCCATTCGTATATGAACTATTTGGGTTATACAGGATTCCTTGTCAGTGTGGTTTAAATTTCGTTATCAAACTAAGACAGCTTCTCAAGCTATAGAACAGAGACATACGTTAAGAAAAAAGAAACACATAAATCCTCTATTGCCCAACACTGTTGGTCAGAAATTCACCCTTCACATTTTTTCTGCAGCCAAAATAACTAAAAAATACTTTCCGTTAGAGAATTAGATTTTCTTGAAGTGTTTTGCATTCATAAACATCTTTCAGTTCTAGTTAACGATCCCAATTTCAATCAATGTTTACCTTCAGCTTTTAAGGATAGTATTTCGTAGCTGTTTTCATTTTTCATCAATGTATGGCCCCAGTAACTTAACCTCCTTCCTCTTATTGCTATCACCTGAGCAAAGGCTTTCCCTTTTTTCATTAGCAATTCTGCAACTTTATGAATATTACGCTGATTCTTGTTGCCTCAGCACCTCCAATAATCGTTACTCAGCTTGTTATTTTAACTTAGACGCCTTATATATTATAGCAGAATCTAAGATGCAACAACACCTTGGAAATCACTAGTGAGAGACGCACGATTGAAATGGCTGCCTGTAAAAAAATAGCCAACGAAGTCATTTAGATACAAAATGACGGTTTGATCTACATAAAAACGTTTTCTAGAATTAATTTGCCTACTTATCATATAGTTAAAAGTGAACTTAACGCATATGTAGCAGTATGAAGTTAATTTCAAAAGTATTTTTTATGTCAATATATTTTTAAGCCTCTGTATTGTATCAAAATAATAGGTTTCGTAGTTTCATTTTATATTCTGTACTTATGTATTACTATAAGCTTTATATTTATAAGCTATTTAAGCTTCATTTTAAGAAATAAAGAAAATCAAACGATTTTGCAGATAGGTACTTTTTGCCATTTATTAATGGTCGTTAGGAACATCATTTATTAATTCCAATACTGCCGAAAATGCGATAAAAATTATAAGTTAGATATATTACAAATTAAGTGTATTTTAAATTATCAGTTGGATTTATTATTAAAAAAATTAAACTTAGCTCTAAATTCTTAAAAAATGAGTTTACAGATTGAAGATTAATAGCTATAAAACAGATAGATAAAGCTTAATAGCTATAAGACAAAAATATTATTGCAACATACATTGTAGATCTTATTGCATCATTAATAAATTAATTATTATAAAAAGTAAGTAATAAATTATTATAATTATTATAAAAAGTTTGGCAAATAATAAGTTCGAAACTTTTTATATAATCTACATTTTATACCGATACAATAAAGAGAAATCAAAATATTTGTTTCAAAAATCATTAGAAATAAATGGAACTTGTCTCACCTCTTTTCTTTTCCATCGATAACGCTTTAACAACAATCAATGTCGGAAAAACAGAAGAAAATAAGCAGCCGAATATTTTAATTTTATTGCCTTTTGGAAACTAGAAAAATAAATAAATAAATAAAAACCTGGAAACTGTAATCCGAAAGCTTTAAATTACTGTCTTCGTAAAAAAGTGCATCATTAAAACATCTAGAAGTTAATATGTACTCATATAAAATGAAAAATATTTAAAAAATCATATGTCTCTCTCTTCTTCTTAGCTGCTGACACATAACCTGGCGGAAATTTTTGACATGCGCAGTGAATGATTTTGTTCCTCGTCTAAATTTATTTATCATGCATTTACGCAGCTATAGGTAATAAATAAAATATTACATAAGTGCGCCTTCTTTTGAATTTTCGCATTGTGAAGCCTGATTAATTTTATTAAGAAAATTTATAGCAACTGAGCAGTTAATACTAGAAGCTCATACACAAGTGAAACGTCAGTTTAAAAAACTTATGGCTAATAATAACAAAAACTCCCAGCAGTGAAATAAAACTTCAGTAACTCAATCTGGAAGACTTTCAGACTCCTACAAAATATACTGAGAAAGGATAATCAGCTGGCGTTTAAGATTCCCTATTTCAAATTAATTTCCAAACCTAGAATTTGAAGATTTAGATGGAAGAAGTCAAAGCCACCTTTCAACAAGCACTTCGCCTATGACACCAGATTCTTCTATACTTCTTTCTCTAATGTTCAGATTTCAAGTGAACTTTCATAATCAACTTATTAAACAACTGGATCAAGAGTTACTGATAAACTCAATAATAAAAAACTTAATCCACCTGGCTCAAATTTTCATAGACAAATCAAGAAGCTTGCATATTCCCATGTTTTTCATGCTCATACCCAGTGCAGGATTTACGTATAAGCTACACAAGCTATAAGCCTCCATTTTCTTGGCAGCCCCCAAAATATTTTAAAAAGGGCTTTACTAAAGGGCCCCATATCTCAAATAGCTTAGGGCCTCGTCAAGTCTAAACCCGTCCCTGCTCATACCTATGAATTACCTAAAGATAAGATGCTTAAAGTCATCAAATAAGGTCTACCAGTTACAGCAAACCTAAAAGAAATTTTTCATGATCTCATTGCTACTGCATTTAAACCGACATATATGATACAGTTAATGGAAAAGAACAAAATGAGTTTTAATTTAACTCTGCTTTATTACCTGAAAATCCAAACTGAAACCTTAAATGAAAGGCCCGGATACCTACAGGTGGTAGCACAGCACCATCGCCTATACATGCAAAAGTATTCTTCATTATTGGAATAATTACGATACATATTCTTTAGGAAGCACAGTTATCGCTTTCCATCACTTCCTCTTCTCGAAAAATACAGCAACCTATCTTCACAATAAAATGTGATGTCTGAGACTTCAGACAAAGCGGGTTCTGCCTTTTGAGCCACGTTGTTTCGCTGATATTTAAGCTATTTTATGGCCGTGCATATTAATTGCCGGTTTGCCTACATCAGTGGTAGGGTAAGAGCCAGCTCGCGTTAATTACCTCTGTGCACTTGGGCTGATTATTTAACTTAGTTTTCATTTTATACTTCTATTTTGAGTTACAGACACAAGTATTGGCTAAGTTTCGTAAGCACCAGGACTGGCGACTATAAATTCTTTCTTGAGTTGAATAAAAGGGTCTTTTCACCCTTCGTACGTTTTGTTATTGATACAGTTTGAACTAATCAAATAGTCCTTTCACAGTTTAAGTAAAGATCTAGCCAACAAAGTAACTTTAATATAGCTAGAATCTTATAGTCTTACCTGCAGCATTCGACATGCACAGTTTTTTTTTTTTTTTTTTTTTTTTTTTTTTTTTTTTTTTTTTTTTGGTGTGTGTGTGTGTGTATGTGTGTGTATATGCGTGAAACGAAAGCCAATTTAAGACTGATTTTCAGCAATTTTTAAATATGAAACTGTATCAGTATAAAAAAATTAATTCAGTGTCTGAAAATTTCTTCGAGTGTAATTTTGAGATTATTTATTAGAAATCATAGAAACTTTTCTTTTCCTGTCATGGTTAAAAATTCATAAAGAGAATGAAACAAATACCTTTAAAGCAGGATTCATCAGTTTATAAGGAATTGATCTTCTGTAACCAACATTGAAGCAAAATTTCAAAAAGCGTGCTCTATTCATGATGTACTCCTATAATCTGTAAGAACAATCACTGAACTGAATATAATATAAAGTGTAATGGAATACAATAACACTAAAACGTATTCTGATGACTTTTCAAAAAGGAAAATATAATTTTGCCGTTATGAAGGAATTCTGTGGAATATCTTGAAGTCGTTAAGTTTATTACTTGACATGCAGCAAGATTTTACTAAGCACTGCTTTTTGTGTAAGTGGGATAACCTGATATGAAAGCACATTATGTGAGGGTAAATCAAATATAAACGAGCCTTTTGTTAAAACAAAATTTATTTAATAGGAAATATCTGCACTTCTATAAATTATTTTTCTAAATACCCTCCTCCTTATATGATACATTTTTCCTAATGATTTGGTATTTTTTTCATTCCGTTTTCGTAGAGTGAAGTTCAACAGGTATCTAATCAGTTACGCACGAATGTTTTAACTTGATCGCTGGTCTCAAATCGCTTGGCTCTAAGTGCTCCTTTGTGGGGTCCAACATGTGAAAATCGAATGACGATAAGTCTGGGCCGTAAGGTGGATGATCAAGCATTTTCCAGTGCATTTCCACTAGTTTCTGGTGCGTTACACTTGCTGTGTGGGGCCTGGCGCTGTTGTGAAGGATCAACACTTGGTGAATGAGACAGTCTCGTCTTTTGCGTTGACATTGACAAGTCTAACTTTATCCAAGAGACCGCAGTTGTAATTTGCATTAATGGTCTGACGTCCGTGTAAGAAATCCACCAGTGGGAACACCTGAAGTCCCCAAAGATCGTAGCAAACACTTTCCCGGCAGACAAATCGAGTTTTGGCTTTTATAGGGTTTCCTTCTCTACACCATGCTTGCAGGCTTTGATTGGGGGTGGGGTATAATGATGCTTCCACGTCTCGTTACAGATAACAATTTTATGCAAAAGAATTTCCTCTTCTTCTTCAAAACGAGCTTGAAGCAACTGAGAAATACGAACTCGTGCAGCTTTTTTATCATCATTCAATAACTTTAGAACCCAACAAGCTGAGATTTTTTCTGAACCCCAGCTACTTTCTGATGACTGATTGGACAGTTCCACAGCTGAAACCAAGTTCTTCTGAAATTTGAAGCACAGTGCAGTGTTGATCCCGATAAGCTCACGAATAAGTGCAGTGTTTTCATAAGTCACACTGTTGCAAGGACGACCTTGATTCGCAACACATTTACAGCCTTATTTGAATTCGTTGCACAAGACCTTGACTCTTGACCATGGAATGGTAGCTTTCCCGAAATGGGCATGCAGTCTGGAGTAAATTTCAGCTGGTTTCACGTTTTCAACGGATAAGGAACTTTATAATTATCTTTGCTAAATAGAAACGGGCGCACTCCTCTTATTCATCATATGAGTTGCTAAATAAAGCAGGGATAAATTGGCTGTTGTGGTTCCCTTACTCTAGGCAACCCCACCTAATGACTTCAGCTCTCCAAGCACATACAAGTACCCATCTCGACGCTAAGCCAATAAAGGTTCGTTCGCATTTGATCGCCTTACGTATCCCCAGCGAATAGCGGAAAGGACATATTTTTACTTCAAAAGAAATGAAAGTGTCCAGCAGAACACAGGTAAATTTTTCAGACACATGTTTCCTTCCTCTCCATGCACATCAAACTCCGACAGCTGAGGACGCCATGAAACGATCATCATTCAAAGAAAGAGAAATATTTGAATATTTGGGAACCAAATTTCCAAAAATAAATTATACTTGAGTAAAGGAGAGAGCTTTTATTGACCCGCAGATATGAAAAAAATGAACGATTCAGATTTCTGCCACTAATACTGAAAAAGACACATTAAATGAATTCAAAGCAGAGGGTGCTACGTTTCTCAGAAACTTCAATATATATTTAGCTGTAAAAGAATTGCAAATGACAAGGCAAGATCTTTTCAAAAAATCACTTACTATGATGGTATACACGCTTACACAATTGTTATGACGGTATGAGGACTCATCGCATATGACACCCAGTTACCTCTAATATTGATCTAAAGCACTATGACAGACTAGCAGGTAGAGGTATAAGCTAGACCAGCACTTCTGTAGTACCACAGGTGACTGAGGTATTGCCGAACCTAACTAAATGTTAAGCTTCTGTCCCAATTTTGAGGAAGAACCCCTCCGGGGTGGTCCAAGGGTCTCCCACCCCTCTTTTCCTACCACAATATCTCAAGGGGACTTTCTGCTTGTCATTTGTTTTGAGTGCACCACTGCCAAACAGACATGACCCATGTCTACAAATACCCATATCTTTTCCGGGATTCCAATCCGGGCTCATTGATACAAAATTCAGCCTTACTAATGACCCCAGCTGTATTTGTAGGAACATATTCAATTGCTTGCAAGCACGCCATGCTAGCAGGTCATGGTTCTTTATAACGCCGGAATTTGTATGGTAATTAAAGTATTGTGCTCCCTTGAACTTATTTACACATAAGCATATTCTCTGGTTTTAATGGTGTATTGAGAATACGGCAGCACACTAGGGCTATCTGCCTAAGGGGAGGAATGCCTTCGTGGAGGACTTCGTGGAGGGAAACTGGCTCGTATACACGTTACACATGGGGGAAAACTACGAAAACGCCCATGAGCCAGCCCGTTCGCGGGATTCGAACCTCGGACCGAACTACCAGTGTTCAGCGGTTTTACCGCTCGGCCGCTGGTGGGCGCCTGGTTTTAATGTGCGGCAACAGGAAGGTCATCACTTTCATCATATGAATTAAGATTATATATGCATATTTGCATTTGGACACATTTTGGACAAATTATTTTATTAAAAATTTATTTTAAAGATATTTATTTTGCAAAAAGCAAAACTTAAAACAGAGAAAAAAATTTATAGTCTGTACTTCAACACTAAGTGCAAGATTTATGAAAATTAGTTTCAAAAATACAAGTGCCCGAAAGCAAATGTAAGCCACTGCAATTTTTTTTCGGCGAAAATTATTCCTAATGGAAGCTTGCTTTCAACAAAATTAGATTAAATTCTAAAATTATTTGAGATTACCGATTTGAAATAAAACATTAATTCGAGGAAAACTTATATATTTCATAGTGTCCAAGTAAGGGAAAAAAAAAAGAGTACGAGTGAAAAAAGGAAATCCTGTTAGGGAGGGAACAATTCGCCAGGTATGTCATTTATGGCGTCACGCTTATCTTCTTAATATCAATAACATATTTTAATTTGTATTAAATACCTATGTTATCAAAAAAGCAAAATAAATATTTACAATATTAAGAAATGCGTTTATTGCTTTCAAATCTCTAAGTTTGTTAAGTAATTACAGACTGATTAAATTCAAATGATAATTAAGGAACTTACTTTTCCCCAAATGACAACGCTCTGAGAACTGGTCACGAAGATGGATGAATGATAAATTAAATACCTTATGTTTTGTGCAGTGGCAACACATTGTGAGCTAGTTATGCCATGGATAAAGAAATAGAAAATAGAAATTCCTTCCTTCGTGAATTAGAGCGTTACAATAAATTAAACACCTTGTGTTTCATACAGCGACAACACTTGCTCAGGTGAGTAGATGCGTTTATGGTATTTTAACTAAATTAATATCATTATATCAAATGTATAGAAGGGGTATTGTCCGAATACCAGATGTTCTTGAGCAAATCAAATGTAATTCTATTTCGCAAAGGTCAGTTATTCAATCTATCATCTACTTCCATCTTATTTGAAGAAGAAATATGTTGGAAACGAGATATCACAGGTAATACAGTCTCTTCAAAAGAACATTCAGCAACGTTACTCATCTTACGTCACACACAGGGTACATTACGAAAAGCTCATGCAGCCATTCTAATGGAATTTCACCCAGTTTACATTGCCCCACCAGTGACCAAGTAGTTAACACTGCTGAATACTGGTAAGTCGACCTAGTTTGGGTTCGACCCCAGGCGACTTTGAAAATATAAGGCTGATTTTTGTTGTTTGACTTCTGACTTAGTATTTGTTCGGCGTGTTATTGTGTCTTAAACCTACCTTAACGTAACCCAGGTCGATCTACCAATATTCAACTATCGCTTTACTCGATTGTTGCTGAGGTGAAAAACCACGAGATGGCAAATTATGATATGACGTTTAACTGAAGAAGAATGGTTTCTTCATTGGACAGAGTATTCAAAATCATAACGAGATTTCAACAGCGGCATGTTCCTGCTGTGCCTTCCTTACACGACTGAAACTTTTGAACGAAAATACGAATCTCAGTTACATTATGATCAGTACAACATTAAAAGGAAAGAATGAAAAAAGAATTTTCAAAGTTTTATTTTTATTACTCTTTACGAAGATGAAACAGAAATATGGATGGATGATTGTTTGAACTTTTGAAATTTATGCTAAAATACAGTCTTCAGAAAGTAGCTCCGAACATTGCAATAATACTGCAAATTTTCCTCACAGTTGATGTTACAATTTGTAAGAAGAATTTAAGTTAATACAAATCTATTATATGAAACACCTGAGATCTAAAAATGAAAACCTTGAGTTTAAGAAATCTTACTGTACTGTTTACAAAACAGTAATTGGAGTAATGAAACACTTTGAGATCGTCATCTACGATTTTACTAACAGAAGAACAAATAAAATAACACTTTGAATGTAATATTTTAAAACCTTTTAGGTATGCATTGAAAGGATCGCAAAATCTCTGGCTACGACACTGGTCACTAGTAACCTATAGGTTGACGCTCACATCAGATAAACTTAGAAAAGCAAAATTTCTATGGGAAATATAAAAAGAAGGAAAACAAATATATGGGATAATAGCAGTGACAACAGGGTTGATGTCAAAGTATTTAGGAAATAATTTTTACACAACAGTACGCAATTTAATTGCATATAATCTGGAATATGTAAGCACTATTAAATTCTCTATTAAAAATAAATTAATAAATCTCAGGAATAAATTATGCGCCCGCCTTCTGTATCTCGCTGGCTTCTATGGAAATACAAAAGCATAAAATCAAAAA